ATATATATATACTACTACTACTACTACTAAATAAATAATATATATATATATATATATATATATATATATATATATATATATATATATACATATATATCAGGCATACTTTAAATGTATATACATATATCGTTTATACCATAACAACAGACATATATCTGGCACGCATACCTTGCACCATCTCAGCGAAGATACAGCCGGCGGACCAGATGTCAATCGATGTCGAATACCGTCGTGACCCGAGTAGCACATCCGGTGCTCTGTACCACAATGTCACCACCTGTCACCAACATTTTAACAATGCGTGTGAGTATATACCAGAAAAACACGTATCTAATTGCGAGTGCATACCCAAATTGTACGTATGATATGCCGGTAAGCCTGTAGTATAACACAGTCGTATGGTATATCTGTGGTATAATGCCACCAGCTGTGATGAGAACGGCTGGTGGTGCCAAATATGCTTGCTTAAAAACAGACGACATACAGCATACACAAATATACAACCATACATATGAAATTACCGTCCTCTCTTAGGAGAAGTACGGCCAGAAATCTAAAAAGGGCACTTTTGCAGCCTGCCTTTGTACTAGCCCACCGCCATCCGAGGGGGATATATACATTACCCTATCATGCCAGATACGCTGCGATAGCTGCGTATAAGTGACATGTGTATGCACACCCCAAACCCATTGATTAGGGGGTTAAAAACATCGTATGTTACACGCTGGTTATCGTACAAGGAACAGTCACATACAATGCCGCGGCCAGCTGCACACGGCACATATCACAGGCGCAATGCGTTTGAATTTTTTTTGGGGCAACCACGTTCAACACCCGAGTTCGTTCGCCTTGACAGTGAAGAGCACAGCGCGGGCGACGACTTATGTTCAACTCATAGTACACTCACAAACTACACTCACTCGAACTAATTCAACTTATCGCAACGCAACGCAACGCTACGCACCGCCACGCAACGCACCGCCACGCAACGCAACGCAGGATACAACAACGACACCACCCCTCTCATCAACAAACGTAAAGCAGATAGAACGACACAGCCGTGAAGCAATTGACTGCCATTGCGGTGTACGGCCGTGTGAGGTGTGGCACACTCTACCTCATGGGAGTAGCTCCGCACAGGGATGCCAAACGCACGGGCCAGGCCAAAATCGGCCAGCTTGAGTTTGCCGAACTTGTTAATGAGCAGATTCTGCGGCTTTAGATCGCGATGGAGTACTCTGTGCTCGTGGCAGAAGGCCACTCCCTTCAGCAGTTGGTACAGGAAGGATTTGACCTGAAAGGGCTCCACCGTCCCACCACAGCCGTCGAGATACTTCTTGAGATCCTGTTCGCAGTACTCGAAGACGAGTGTCAACTTCTTGTCCGTGTGCAGCACATCGTACAGCCTGGGTGGTATAGGGTTTAGGGTTTAGGGTTCGGATAGTTGGGATGTAGGTTTCAGCAGTATCGTGGCATGAGATAGTAGATGCGTGTCTATTTAGGGATTCTAGGGTTTAGAAATAAACGCCTTGAGAACATGTGCGCGTAAGCACACTCGACAACACGGCCGACTGCAGGTATACTGCAGCCACGCTAATCCCCAGAAGTTTAAACTGGGCAGAAGTGAAGTACCACGTGAGTTTGGGGTGCGAAGACCTGAGCGGCACAACGGATTTTACCTGTACGATTGCGTGTCAAATGAGTCGCAAATCATGCACCGTGGTCACCCACACGTGTTTGCCTGATTTGTATACATATACAGCCAGACCACGTGCTTGCAACCGTAACGACCTGTCCAATATCCAGAACCTTCAAACACAGACACAGACACAGACACAGACACAGACACTTCCTGGCTGATACTATCACTTGAACGCGCAATTGCCTGAATGCCCACACCGACACACTACCAGGATAAGTGCTCACCCAGACACAACAGAAGAGTGAATTGTTACCACTTTTTAATTCAATCCTCACACGGGCACACTACCAGATGTTCCCACACAGACACCCCTGAATTGGATTTTCACTCAGAAACTGAATAGAATTCACACATTCGCACAGTATCCCCTCTGCCCGGTTTACGAACCTGAACTCTCACAACGCTTAGTACCTACTTTCTCACACAAACGCACTTTCCAGCCATAGCCTCACACATGCATATCACTTCAACAGACGTAATACACACATGCACACCCTTACATGATACACCCCTACACATACACTACCAAAATATATATGCACACAAACACACTACACAAACACACAACCGAAGTACACACACACATACACACACGCGCAATACCTGACAATATTTGGGTGGCGGAGTTCTTTCAGCAGTGAAATCTCGCGAATGGCCGTACAGGGCACCCCTTCATCCTCACTGTCCAGCCTGATACGCTTCAGCGCAACGACATCCCCTGAACACGAATGGTTGGTATCGTTTAACTACTACGATAGGGTCTATAGGACACGCGCGTATGCATATACACTGAACCAGCCAAGCGATATGATATGATATAGTGTGATTTGGAAGTACAGAGAATGTATGTAGACTGTTGTGAAACGTATGATGTATGTATCTATTTATATATTTTTGTATCTATGAACATACGTATATACGTATACATGTGTGTCGTTTATATATGCATACATGTATATTTTTAAATGTATATATAAAGTAAGTAAGGATGTATGCATGGATGTATGTATGTATGAATAAATATACGTTTATGTGTGTATAGATGTATGTATGGATGTATTTCTGTTTGCTAACATACATGGATAAGTTAATATACATTTAAATATAGATATAGATATAGATATAGATATATATAAATATATGTATATATATGTATATATATATATATATATATATGTATGTATATATATGTACACACACATATATATATATATATATATGTATGTATATATATGTATATATATGTACACATATATGTAGGTACATATGTATGTATGTATGTATGTATGTATGTATGTATTATGTACATTTTTTTGCATATATATATATATACATATATATAAATGTCTATATCAGTATATGTATGTATGTATATACGTTCATTTATATATATGAATATATCTTTATATATATATACATATATATATATATATATATATATATATACATGTATATATATATATATATATATATATATATATGCATATATATAT